ACAGTTGGAGGAGCTGCAGTCCATCCTAGTGGGGGAGGCATGCTGAGGTATAGTGGTCACACTGTGTGAGCAATCAGGAGGTAGAATTGGCCCACTATACCTTAAGGCCTGGCCGCAGTGACAGGCTTCCTTCAGCAAGGGCTGACTTGTCTGGAGACCAGATGTTTGGACTCTGTGCCTCTGGGTGACATCTCACATTCAAACCGTAACAGATGTCCTAAAAGTCATAGCCTCATGAGCTGGGCAGTGGCTGTGGCCCTGTGGCAGGAGAGGGTGAGTCACACAGACCGCTTTTGTGCCTCTTGAGGGACAAAAAGATTCCCATGTGGTCAGCCAAGACCAAGAGGCCATGGTCTCTGCTCTTGTGATAACCCTGTGGTACCTGCTCTCGGAGCCACGCTTTGTTATGAATAGCCCACCGTTGTCCACCGTGATGCTTAGGTTATTGGCACAGCCCCACAGGTGGGTCACATGGGATTCGATGGAGATGACCTTTAAACCTTGGTGGAGGAGAACCTGGTAGCTCTTCCAGAAGTGTTGTCTCCTCCAGGTTTATCTCAAGGAAGAGTAAGTTCTGGAACTCTCACTGATCCAGAAAAGCCCTTGCATGTGGGGAGGATTCTACTAGCTGTTGATAGGGAAAATCATTCCAGTTTGGTCCACGTTTGTGTTCAAATAAGGGAAATAATGGTAAGATGTACTCTCTTCTTCTGGGAGCCGCTGCGTGAAGGACCTGGGCCTTCTGGGAGTGACAAGGGGGATTGATGGCGTGTCACGTTTCCTAGTGTAAGTGTTGGCTTAAGCTGTGCTGACAGTATTCCTGAGGACACAGCTAGGTACCCTAAGTCTCATTGTTTAGGGTTTGTGCTAGTGGTCACACTGTAGGGTCCTTCCTTCAGGGGATCCAGTCTCACGCACACACACGCACACACACGCACACACCCCTTTAGCTACTGTGTCAGGAAACTGAGTCAAAACTGAGAACTGGAAAAGGCATCTCAATTTTCTAGCGGCAGACATCAGCCTTTTCCTGTCTCACTGCATGGGATGCTGTGACTTCCAAGCCGTTGCCTAGGATCACTACTGGAAATTGCGTCCGTTGGCTTGATGTTTACGATGGTCCCCCTTGATACTGCTACAATCTTGGCATTCCCAGTGATAGAGAGGGCTGTTGATGGAAGTTTCTGTCCCACCTGGTCCTGGAGCTGTTCAGTCCCAATTAAACACACAGAGGCTTATTATAAAATGTTTGGCCTGTTAGCTCAGGCTTATTATTAACTAGCTCTTACAGCTTAAATTAACCCGTAACTTTTATCTACATTTAGCCACGTGGCTTGGTACCTTTTCTCAGTAAGACATTCTCATCTTGCTTCCTCTGTGTCTGACTTAGGATTGTGTCTCAGCCTTTCTTTTTCCTAGAATTCCCCTAGTCTGGTCACTCCACCTATACTTCCTGCCTGACTTCTGGCCAGTCAGCATTTTATTAAGCCAATACGAGTGACAAATCTTCACAGAGTGCAGGGAGCCCAGTGTCACAGCCTTTCATCTGTCATCACTCATCTTCTGAAGACGCTGCCGTGGGGACTCTAAGGTCACCAACGCCCTCCTCACCGATGTCCTCACTGGCGGCACATCTCTGGGCCCCCTGAGACGTATGCTTTACATAGTCACACAGTGGGGTCTCTCATGTCCATTTTTACATTGCTCCCTCCCCGAACCATCACTTCCTAAGGGTCATAGGATCTCCTGGCATCTCCCCTCCCTTCCTGCAGGCTGCTGTCATGGACCAGCAGTACACATGGTCCAATGTGTCCAAGAAGCCATTCCTTGAACTTAGGGGTCAGAGCCAAGGTGATAGCTATGGATCAGGGCAGATACTCCTTGCCGGTATCCTCTACCAGGGCACTTTGTCTTTTGCCCCTCAAGATTCATTCCCAGTGGGGGCTGGAGAGATGGCTCAGAGGTTAAGAGCATTGCCTGCTCTTCCAAAGGTCCTGAGTTCAATTCCCAGCAACCACATGGTGGCTCACAACCATCTGTAATGAGATCTGGTGCCCTCTTCTGGCCTTCAGGCATACAAGCAGACAGAATATTGTATACATAATAAAATTAAAAAAAAAGATTCATTCCCAGTGTCCCACTATGGTTAAACCCTCCACCTTACTTTTCTGGTAGGAGGTGAGGGTCTCTGTAGACACCCATCACAGAAGTGTGTATCACTCAAAGACTGCCCTGAGCCCATCAGTCCCTCTCTTCAGAGCTTCCAAACCTGCTAAACAAGCCAGCCAGCCTTGCGGTCTCTCCAGTGCCTGGTAAACCAAAAGAGCTAACTCGCATCCCAACTCCTGCGTGAGGAGATTCTTCTACAGGTAGAGGCAGGCTGGGCAAGCCTGAGTTCAATCCCACAACCCACAGAAAAGAGGAGGAGGAAGAGAACTCACCCCACAGGTGTCCTCTGATCTCCTCGTGAGTGCTGTGGCACATACACAACACCATGTGTGCTACACACACACACACACACACACACACACACACACACAAGATACTTAAAAATAAACATGCCAAATCCTGCCCCCCTTAACCTGGGCCTCTTCTGTCCAGCATAGGTGAGGAGCATGGCATGCCTTTTGGGGTCTCCTTGTTCACCCACTAAACACTGTAAGGTCTGATTGCTAGTTGATACCCATAAAAGCTCCAGATGCTGCCCCACAACCCATGTCTAGGTGTATTTGTTACAGTTTTCTTTGCTCAGACAGAAGAAACTTAAGGGATTGTTTTTGGCTCAGTGTGGGGATGTAGTCCATCGTGATGGGGAGGCAAGATGGCAGGAGTGTGGAGAGCCGGTCACATTGTGTCCACAGAGGAAAGCAGGAAATGAATGCTGGTGCTCAGCTCAATTGCTCCTTTTTCTTCAGCCAGGGACCCCAGCCCGTGGCATAGCACCACCCACAGAGCAGGTCTACTTAAAATGTACTGGAAACTCCCTTGCAGACATACTGTTAAAAGACACCATGACCAAGTCAACTTATAAAAAAGACTTCTAATTGGGGGGCTGCTTAGAGTTTGAGAGGGTCAGAGTTCACAATGATGGCAGGGAGCATGGCAACAGGCACGCAGACATGGTGCTGGGACAGTAGTGGAGAGCTAACATCTGATCCCCCAGAGAGAGCTGCTATGAAGCCTTGGGCTTTAGAAACCTCTGTGGCCACTCCTAGTGGCATTCCTCCTCCAACAAAGGCCACGCCTCTCCCAGAGAGGCCAGACAGCCTCCAGCAAGGCCACACTTTTTCCTAGTGACACACCTCTTCCAGCAAGGCCACACCTCATCATCTTTTCTAAGCAATTCTGGGGAACCAAGCATTCAAACATTTGAGACCATGGAGCCCATTCTCATCCAACCACCACACTTGCCGCAGAGGTCTCTCTCCTCGGTGATTCTAAATTCCGTTAAGCTGACAGTTAAGGTCACACGAGGCCATTCCTGGTACCACTTGTCCTGATCCTCTGAAAACAGAACCTGAAACAAGGGTTTGGGGGCGGGTAGCTTGAGAATCCAAACAGGAGGTCAGCCAATCTGCCTGCTGCTTAGGCCCACGCTTCTGTAAGTCCCAGTTAGCTCTGCACTCCCGGGTCTGTGTGCCTTTTTCTTCAGCCTCCTGGTGCTTGTGACTGGGTTCTGTACACCAGGGGTGAGCTTTGCCAGAGCAATTGCCTCTCTGCTCAGTTTCAGCCTCAGAAGCAATCAAGCAGCCATGGTTGTGTGTTCCTACATCACATGTTATAATTCCATGTGAAGTGCACAACCCCGCCTACACAGTGCTCCTAAGTCATTCCTGATTTGACCTTAGTGAGTCTAGCAGAGAGCTAGACCTGAGGGAGAGACGTTCTTCAAGTCCAGCCATCCAACAGACAAATGAATGGAGCGCTTGATCTAGGACTTGGTGCCCTCACAGTTGCTTCCAGATGTTTCCAGATGGCTTCCAAGCTACCGTAGGCTATGATGCTAGCTAGCTTAAAGGTGCATGTGGCAGCTGGGGCACAGTAGGCTGATAGCTCCTGGTAACCCTGGCTGCGGGAGTTCTTGTTGCCTGTTGCTGCTTGTCTTTGTCCACCAGGGTGCAGTGTTCCACTTGCTAACAGCTCCTGAAATGAACCCCAAACTGGGTTCCTTGAAACGTTGACTCCTTATTTGACATTTCAGCCAGGGGAGGTGTGTGTGTGTAACTCCTCACGGTGTAACAGGCATTTCAGGGTTGATGCTGTGCTGTGTGCAGGGCACTGTTTTCTGTTCTTGTGAAAAGGCGCTGACTGTCTCCGGCCCCTCCCCCCAATTCAGATCAACTCACCTGCAGCCTTAAACATCTTGCTTTAAAGTTCCTGTCCTCTGGTACCCTGGTAGTTATGGCTGAGATGTAGACCAGAGAGGATAGTTGCCCAGGTCACTCTGGGACTCAGAACGGCAGCTAGGAGGGGGCTTCATGGATCTGTTGCTTTGTTTGTCTGAGTCAGGGTCTCATGTAGCCCAGGCTGAGCTCATATTCTGGATGTAGCCAAGGATCACTGAACTCCTGATCCTCCTGCCTCCACTTCTCCGTCACTGCACCCCAGCACCTGATCCATTGGTTTCTGCCCTGCATTTTATTCTTAGGCTTTTCTGAGTGGGTACTGGTGATCCCAGCGGCATGGCTGTTGAGCTTCTGTGTGCACGCCTCTGTCTCCGTGCTCACAAACAGCACAGTGGATATAGTCTCGGCTCTTGAACGTCTATGGGCTCCAGATTTCAGGAGTAGAGCCAAAGTGGGCGATGGCCTCCTCAGTGACTCTTAACCAAGTCACCCTGTGTGCTTGGCTGAGCAGTGGCTTGTTTGCTATCCCAGAGACTGGCAGAATGTACTGAGGCTATGTCACTGAAACAGACAGAAAGCCACCTGTCCCCAGCCACAGCTCTGCTTCTGAAATAAAGGTCCTCATTCTCATGGGGTCCCTTCCTTCTCCTGCAGAATGTCTCCCGAAGAACGTTTGAGCTCGACTACAGCCGGGACCGCTTCCTCAAGGATGGACTGCCATTCCGCTACATCTCAGGGAGCATCCACTACTTCCGGATACCCCGCTTCTACTGGGAGGACCGACTGCTGAAGATGAAGATGGCTGGGCTGAATGCCATCCAGATGTAAGGAAGGGTGTCCGGCTGAGACCCTAATGCTCACACCTTGCTTTATTTCTCCCCTATCAGCTATTCCATTGCTCAGAAGTGGGAGGGAGCCCTGTGTGGGGCTTGTCACAAGCTCGACTGGCCTTTTTTCAGATAACAAACCATTTTTCACTTGAACTTTGTCATCAGAAATCATAAAATAGAAATCAACTTGAAAAGGCAACGGTGGGGGCCCGCTGAATGCCTCAGAAGGTACAGCTGCCTGCTGCCAAATTAGACAGGCTGAGTTCGATCCTGGGGACCTACATGGTGGGAGAGAAGAAGAGACACGTGCAGAGTGTTGCCTGATCTGCACGTGTACACACACAACACATACACACACACACACACACACACAGCAATAATAGATAGGTTGAAGGTGTGATATGATGAACTCTTGGAAAGTGCAGGGCACTTTTGAAAGAGTGGTTCTCTTCGTCTGAGATAGACATCATATTCCTGTTTATAGCTCATAAAACTTAAATTTCTGCCAAGGTCATTGGTCAGAGGCCCATCAAGGAGCCAAACATGAGGGAGTTTGGAGGCGGCCGTAGCTGCTTTGGGTGTAGGGGAGTAAGCCTTGTGCTTAGGTTATTGGAACCCAACTTGCCTTACTGGGCTAACCTTTTGAGTCCGAGCTGTAGGTTCACACCTGCAGGCCTGTCCCCATCCCCTCTGATGCTATGAAATGACTAACTGGGAGGGAAGCTGAGGCAGCTGACCACTCTGGTTTTTAATAGAGCTGATGTGGATTACTGATACCATCTTTAAAGATAAAGAGAGAAAGCCTTAGTTGGTTTAGTAGCTACCCAGGGGGAGTCCCACTTTTCTGTTTCTGCGGCCACTGGCAGAATGAATCCAAGTTCACTTACAGAGGTTGACACGCTGAGTTCCAAAGGGCTGCAGCTGATTGTTCCGGGGCTACAGGATGCTCGTGGAGCTCACCAGCAGGGGTTGTGTGCTGAGAATGAATGGCTCATATGCAAGTGTGTATCTTTACCAGATTTGGGGGAGCCGATTGAGTTGGGTTCTTTTATTTCCTGGTCCCAATATTCCTGACACAAATCTTTTGTCTTCTTGTAGTGGTTGGAGATTTTTCTGTGGTTTGGTTTCAGTGCTGAGAGTCAAATTTAGGCATAACACATGCTGGGCATGTTACCACTAGACTACTAGGTCTCTAGACTGTGTAGAAGGGTTTGTTTTGTATGCCTGTTTGTCTATGTAGCATGTGCATGCAGTGCCCACAGAGGCCAGAAGAGGGAGACGGATCCCCTGGAACTGTAGTTACAGATGGTTGTAGGAGGCCATGTGGGTAAGAACCAAACCTGGATTCTCTGAAGGAGCAGGTGCTCTTAACCACTGAGCCATTGACCAACAACCTCCCCACCCCCTTCCTCACACACTTTTAAAGACAGGATCTCTTCGTGTAGCTCAGGCTAATCTAGAACTCAAAATTGGCCTCAGCCTCCTGAGTGCTAAGATTACTGCCCACCATGCCTGGCTTATTCTTACTTTTAGTGAAGTATTTGATTGTTTTGAGACAGGATCTCTCTATGTAGTCCTGCTGTCCTGGAACTCTCTATGTTGACCAGACTGGCCTTGAACTCATGGAGATCCACCTGACTGTGACTCCTGGCTCCCAGGATTAAAGGTCAATGCCATTATGCAAACCATTTCTTTGTTTATTTTTCAGGCATAGTCTCACTGTAGCCCAGGATACCCTCCAGTTTATTGGGAACCCCAGACTGGCCTTTAACTCCTTAATTCTCCTGCCTCCACTTCCCAAGTGCCACTATGTTCCACTTAACCTTGATTTTTTAAATAAACATTTCTCATATTATTTTAGCATGATAATTAGGGTTCATATGTTTGTGGTGATATTGTGTTTTTGCTTTAACAAATAAAGCTTGCCTGAAGATCAGAGTGCAGAGCTAGTTACTAGGTAGCCATAGAGGCCAGGCAGTGGTGGCACACACCTTTAATTCCAGCAATCGGGGAGACAGAGGCAGGTGATCTCTGTGAGTTCAAGGCCACCCTGGGCTACACCACATTGAATCAGTCTGAAAGAGAAGCAGAGCCAAGCAGTAGCGGCGGCTCACACCCTTAATCCCAGCACTAGGGAATTGGAGACAGGAAGTGATATGGCTGGGCGGAGAGAGAAATATAAAGTGGGAGGAGACAGGAGCTCAGGATTCAGTGTGAGGATTCATAGAGACAGCATTGAGTCTGAGGATTCCTGGAGACAGGACACCCCACTCAGTCTGAGGATTTCGTAGAGGTGACAACTAGTGGCCGGCTGCTCTGCTTCTCTAGTCTTTCGGCTTTCACGCCCTGATATCTGACTCTGGGTTTTTATTAAGCCCAATTAGAATTCGCAATCCATATATTTTGTTTTTCTCAGCAAAGTTTTCAGTGTGCTGGAAGATATTTTTTCCTTTCTGTCAGTTTCTGTATAGATTGTTCTCATAAAGGGCTGGGTTGGTGCTCCATGTTAGAGCATGTCCCTGGCATGCTCAATGGCTGTGTTCGATTCTCAGGATGACAAACTTATCAGTTACAAAGTGAAGCCAAAGGAGAATTGGATGAGGTATACTGAGCTGGACAAGAAAGCCACCTGAAAAAAATCCATCTGGGCAGATGAAGCTGGTGAATCCCATTCATGTCCCTGAATGGGAGCGGTTGTCTCTGAATAAAGCTCTTCATGTGTAGCCCTGCCAGACCACACACAAACAAAATCTACAAGTTCATCTCTATGTTCATGTTCTTCCCCGATCACTAGTCAGTAAGCAAAGGAGACTAGAAGACGTCATGAGTGGCCCCGTGGCTCATCTCCAGTGTGACCCAGAGGGCATGCACCTGCCTCTTGCTTTAGGTCAAGTTCTGTCTCCCATCCAGGTGCCAACCCGGCCCGGCTCTGCTTAGCTTCCGAGATCAGAGGCAATCTGACACTCCGGTGTGTTATTGCCACAAACTGGCTGTTGGTTTTCAGTCATGCTCCCACTCATTTTTAGAAAACTTTTTTCTTTATTCCACCTTATTTACTTTGTATGTGTGTGCGTGTGTGCACATGTGTGTAAGTGCGTGCTGTAGCATGTGTTTGGAGTGCAGAGCACAAAGTGTAGAAGCTGACACTCTCCTTCCATCGTGTGGGTTCCAGGATTGAACTCCTGGGGTCAGGTTGGCAGCAACACCTTTACCCATGAGCCTTTGCAGGGGCCAGTGATCCACCTTGCGCCTGTGTTGTCAAATGGTCCTGCAGCCTGGGCTCCCCTCGCCTTCCTCCCGCTCAGCTGCCCCCTGTGAGGATTTTGACTGTGCATGTCTTCATAGGTATGTGCCCTGGAACTTTCATGAACCCCGTCCAGGACAATACGAGTTTTCTGGGGACCATGATGTGGAGTATTTCATTCACCTGGCTCACGAACTGGGGCTCCTGGTGATCCTGAGGCCCGGGCCCTACATCTGTGCAGAGTGGGACATGGTGAGTGTGTTAACGCGGGGCTCTGCCTGCTTGGTGGGTGTGTTTAAGGCAGGAGTGGCTGGTGGAGGTGGGGGCTGGGCAAAGCAGATGAAAGCAATCCGCGGCTCAAAGACTGGAGCCTATGATAGGGGCCTCCACAGGTGTCCGTTCCTTTAAAGAGGTGCCAGGCAGAGAAGAGCAGGCTTGAGCCAGGGCATCAGGGCTTCCTCTTAGCCAGTCACATAAGCTGGGGTCCTGTCAGAGGCTTGGAGTGGATCGTCTTTGCCTCATGGACTAGTTAAGAGATTAAGAGAAGCCGTGGGCATAGAAAGAGTTTTGCAGTCCAGTGTAGGACACTTGCCTGGCATATACAAAACCACACAGTCAGTCCCAGGACTACAAAACGAAACAACAGCAAGAAAACTAAAGTAGGAAGAAAGAGAAGGACAAAGAAAGAAAGAAAAAGAGGCTGGAGAGTTGGCTCAGCCATTAAGAGAACTGGCTGCTCTTTCCAAGGACCTGGGTTCGATTCCCAGCACCTACATGGTGGCTCACAACCCTCTGTGATTCCAGTTCCAGGGGCTCCAACACCCTCTTCTGGCCTCTGAGGGCACTGCATGTACATGGTGCATAGACACGCATGCAGACAAAGCATCTATACAAATAAATAAATAGATAGACAGATATAAATAAATAAGTTCTAAAGGAGGAAGAGAAGGGGGAATTTGGCTGGGTGTGGTGATCGTCCCTATAACCCAAGCACTTGGGAGGTGGAGGCAGGCAGATCAAAACTCTAAGACCAGCCTGTGCTATATAGGGCTTCCAGCTTTAGGCTTAACTCCATAGTGAGACAGTCTCAAAACTAAAGGGGAGAGGGTGTTAGTCCTCAGACTATTGCCAATAGAGTGATCTTCATTTCCCTTTATTCTGGTTTCCCAGAAGCCCAGGTCATTTTCCCCTCTGTCTGGCAGGAATCTCTCATCTCTTTTCATGCAGTGGGCAGTCTGATGACTGCTTTTGCTTTTCTGTCTTGTAGGGAGGCTTACCTGCTTGGCTACTAGAGAAAGAATCTATTGTCCTTCGATCTTCTGACCCGGGTGAGTTACTGCCGCCTTTAAAGGATTATAGGAGATTGGACAGTTTATATCAAAAGAGCCAGGCTTAAAGGTAGGGCTGCTTCTGTCCAAGTGCCGGTTAATGGGGTGGAAATCACCCTTCACCGGACAGTGAGCGTGCAGGAGACATTGCCTCTTCTGTAGGCTTGAACGATCTCACTGATAAATGGATAACTCTTTGAATTCGAAACCTGGTTAACCAACTGGGTTCAATGACTTGTTTTCTCTTCCTACACACTTGGTATATTACAGAGCCAGCTAGTCAAAATGGCAGGGTTGGTTCTGGAGTGATGTCAGTAGATAGATTTCCTGGTAGCACTGTGTCTGCTGTTACTTTGCATTTGTGGAGGGATTTGTAAATGACGGCTTTGTCTTGTCATTTTAATAAACCGAGAGGTTGTTTTAGCGTAAACCTTCAAGAGTCATTCAGTTGCATCTGTCTGTGTGGGCGTGCATATGTGTGTGTGTGTGTGTGTGTGTGTGTGCGTGCGTGTGCGTGTGTGTGTGGTGTGTGTATAGTGTGTAATGTGTGTGTTATGTGGGGAGGCATGTGTGTGGTGTGTGTGTGTGGTGTGTGTGTTTAGACTCTATTTTTCATATTATATGAACTTCTGTTTTATACTCTTGCTATATTATTGTTGTTTTTACATGTGTTGCCTCATGAGTCCGCATGAGAACTTTAAGAAGCATGTGTGTTTGTCAGTCTCTTTTGAAGTTGTAAATATATGATTTTAGATGTTAATTTTGTCTGGGTGTGGAGGCACACACTTGTAATCATAACCCTTGGAAAGCAGAGGTGGGGTTCTGGAAAGATGGCTCAGAGGTTAAGAGCACTGACTGCTCTTCCAGAAGTCCTGAGTTCAATTCCCAGCACCTACATGGTGACTCACAGCCATCCATAATGAGATTTGGTGCCCTCTTCTGGAAAGTGGAGGCAGGAGAATCAGGATTTCAAGGTTACCCTCAACTACATATTAGATTTGAGTCTTGCCTGGGCTATATGACCTTGTCTCAAAAACAAACAAACTTTTAAGGTATTTATTTATTTATTTATTTATTTATTTATTT